CAGGTGGTGCTGTGCACTGGCTGTCTTAGCTCCACCCTTCTGTCTGAAGCCCCACCCCTCCCAGGAAGACGGAGCCAGAATCGGTTCCCTATGCTGCCTAGGGGATTAGCAATCCTGTCAGCTCCCCTGGTCTGACATACAATATACCATATACCTATGTGCTGCTGATATAGGAGAGAGTTGAGACTGAGCAAAAATCTGTTATAGGATATCAGAACTAGGGTAAGTTCAAATCCAGATCTAGATTCCAACTTTGTAAATCAGACCTAAGTCTGACATAAACACCTCAATTTCATGAGCAGATACTAGTCTGCATAACCTAGATGCTTGTTTCCATACAAGCTGTCATTCAGAACAAATGTCAAAACAAATGCAAGCCCCAATCACTTACTAAATTTTTCTTGCTCACCCACTGCTGCTAACTCATTTTTGAAGGTCTTCAAGATGATAAATGCAATTTTAAAAGGTGAAGAGATCTGTTAAAACATCCAAAATCTTTGTTGTATATTTTTAAGGTCTTCGCCTCCCTCCCCGCTTCCCCCCAGCCACCCTGTCCCTCAGCCCCATTTAGGCCCATAAATTTAATCAATCTGTTGATTCTTGGCAGATTCACTGTTTTCTTATAAAGTAAATCAGTGGTGCTACATTACATCATGTTACTCACACCTTCTGTCCTTGCTTTTTGACAAGATATTTATCATTTTATTGAGAACCAGCATCTCAGTTCAGTATTCAGAGCACTGTCTTTTATTTTGCTGTTTAGCCAGTGTCTACCTTCGTTAATTGTACCATTTATCTACCACATCAGTAATTTTGTGCTCTAGCTTTCTAATTATTGCCTGCACAAATTGAATGCATCATAGACTTTAGAAATGAACTGAATCAGGTAATGTTCCCAGGGCCTTTCAGCCAGGGAATTTAAAAAAAAAAAAAAAAAAAAAGCCACAGAAGCTTGATTTGCTCACATGCAAGCCAGTGGCAAAATTCCTGTTGAAAGTGGGATTAGGCTCACCGCTACTGAACTGATGTATCTAACTGCTCTATGCCATACAGCACTTCTAGTTAAACTGCTCACGCTGCTGCTGTGATTATGCACATACCTAAATGTTCAAGAGAAAGGCTAATTATGGTAATTGGTGCAGGAAGTGAGGGTAATTCTGAATGCAAGGCAGGTGTGTAGTTACGCATGCATATGTGCACCCACCTTTTCTGAAAAATGGGCTTCAATATTCATCAGAAAACATTAACCAGTCCTGCTCCCTTTTAAGGCATCATACATTTTGCATTGAATTCAATGAGAACAGGATTGAGCCCTTTGCACTGAATTGAAAAAATATCAATCACAGGAGTTTGGACGTATATTTGGCTTAGTTATTCTTAACCCTGTCCTTTTCAAGGCCACCTCTGGGTGTCGCTGTGGGAACTAATTGTAATGTTCATGTTCCCTTTTCCATAGTGCCATCATCAATGGATTTGTTCCATTTAAACTTTAACCTCAAGAAAATGTCACCTTAATGCCCTCTGCTCTTATGAACTTAGCAGTAATTGCTTCTCTCGCTATTTTCATGTAAGGTAACTGTCTGGGTTACAGAATCTTGAAAGCAGTTTTGATTGATCAAGGGTGGTCTTTTTGGATGTGACACTTACCAATTAATAATAAAATTAAGAAGATAAATCTGACCTAGTTAGGAAGATGGTTTAGCTACAGTTCCACTTCCAGATATCAAAACTTGCATATCAAAACTATACAAGCCTATTAAAACCTATACTGAAGATACCAAAATATTAGAAAACTTGTAGACAATATTCCTTGCATTAAAAGGACTGGACAAGTGAAGGGGTCTTTTCCATTTAACTTCTAGGATTCTGTATATTTAATTGCACTGAGTGTCAAAATAAAATGATCATTCTCAGGCAGTATGAAGATTTCAATTTGTTTTACATTTCTAACCTTGTAGTCATCTCCATAACTGCCTTTCAAAAGCAAACCAGCAAAAGACTCATGGCAATTAACTTGGAAGATGGGCAGGATTATATGAGGCAAGGTAGTGATCATTCATGTGTCCTTTGATAATACATGCCAGACTTTATTCATCCATTTAAAAGTTCTAAAGTCCCTATTGCTCCTATACACTACACATGAAAAATGAGCAGATGTTCATTTTTAAAAAAAAGCCTTTAGTGTTTGCAGTGTAAAACAAAACCTACTGTACTCTACAAAAAAATTAATAACATAATATAAAGTTTGTCAAACTTTGCTAAAACTCTGTTCACAGAGGAGCAAACATGGCTTGTATTGGCAGTGGTTTGGGCATTTTGATGCAGACAATCCTCTAACTAGGATCAGGCTCTCTGATTTTTATTAGCTCATTTTAAGTGGCTAGCTTGAATTCATTTCTAGGAATTGAGCTTTATTTATCTTTTTAGACAGCCCTTTGATTAAGGAACATCTAATGAGATGCATTGTTTAGCATGTGTATACATTCAAATTGCAAGGTATCATTGATGTAAATTGCTCTTATTTAGAATTTTACTGCAGCCTCACCCAGAGGCCCCCAACGCCATTGTGGAAAACACTATAAAAGCATAAAACAGAATATCTCAAATGAAATGCGTAATACAATAAATATGGTGTTGTGCCTCTCTAGCACTTTTCCCTGAGGATCCCAAAGCCTTAGCAAAACCTTAATTAATTAAGGCTTTACAAGACATCTCTAAGATATACAGGGGGAAATCAAGGCCTCCATGAAGTCAATGGCAAAATTTCCACTGGCTCCACTGGAGCTGAGATTTTTCACTCAGAATTTTGTATAACCATTTTGCTGAGAGAAAGCAACATATCCAAGAGTACAGGACAAGTCCATGGCTGGGTACTTCTGATTCTCATTCCCCTCCTTCATCCACTAGCCCACAGACTATGACAAACTTATTAAGATGTTATTATACCATCTATTTGATAAGCATTACATAATGTTCACATCTGAGCATGCTGCAAGCAATGGTTTTCCTCTGCATTAGCAACATACACTGTAGTTTGATCTTGGAGAAATAAAAGTAGTTCAGTAAATTTTGAAGTGTGGCTATTCAACAGTGCAATATAAAAGGCACTATGGTCCATATGCAAAGTGGGAGGACTAGGAGAGGGCACAGTTTACATCTCTTTCTCTTCCATCTCCTGATAGATAAATGAGGTGTGCTTAAAATTAACGTAATAAAGAGCTGTTTCCATTCCACAGTCCAATAGCAAGATGAATATTCCGTACGCCATTTTTGACGGAGTGAGTGCATCAGGAAAGAGGACTTTTATTTCCCACCCCAAAATAATGAAAATCATCTAGAATCTGTTCCACTGACTGTAGATTATCCTTGTTCTCTGAAGCCTAGACTGCAGGCAGATGAAAAGCATTTGTGATTGTCTAAAGACAATGACCATGATTCCTATTATGTTAGATGTTATCTAAAGTGGGCATATATACAGCACAATTCTCAATCTAGGCTCCTTAATAAAGCATCTCAGTTTAGGGGTGGAACAGAAAAGCAGCACACAGGCTCATGCCACTGGCATTCATTTATGCACCTAACCTTCAATTTGATCATCCAGTACATTGGATCTGGACAGCTTGTTAAAGCAACATGGTTTGAAAACTGTTCTCTTGAGGTGAAACTCCCCTCTAAGCAGAGCACAATATCTAAGCCTCATTTAAGTTCCACTTATGTTTCTCTGCATAGGGCTGAATTTCATCCAATATTCATTCCCCAAATCATGGCTCCTGCTGTTTTGACCAGCTGAAACAATCCATCCTTTCTGGTCAAGAATACCCCTTAATCCTAGCACTGCTTGGAGAAATCTATGGTTCACAGACTGGAAAATATAATCATTATGCCCATTGATACTGATTTACTTGGACAAAATTCCCATTGAAGCTTTTACTGAATAAAGTTGCAGAGCCAAAGCCCGGAGACCTAATCTGCTCATAGAGATACTGATTATCAACCCTTTTGTAGAGCTTCTATGATTTCATCTTTGTGAAAAGGTGAAGACTACTTAGGAAGTTGGTGTAATAGAAATTGCCTAATTCTGTATGTGCCTCAAGGCACATAAAAACGTCCTGACAAATTACAGTTGCCAGCCACTCAAAATAAAATTACATTAACTGGTTTAGAACATCAGGGCCCTGTTTTTGGTTTCTTTTGTTGGTAACTATAAAGCCAGAGGCAAGGGTACCTAAAACTATCATTAATCGACTTCGTAGAAAATACTTCCATGTGTTCCAGATCATTACATGTACTGAGGGGTCAACAGGGTATCATCTCAATCATGGGTTTATAAACAGAATAAACAGAGTTGAACTATGGACCCTATCCTGCTACCCTGGTACTTGTTTCACTCTCTTTGAAATCAGTGGTAGACCTGCAAATACAGCCACTGCAGCTTTGGGGCTTAAAGCTACAGCAGTACTGGAGCACAGTGCAGCCTGATAAGATGTATAGAGACACTGCATTGTGTGGCTTCATGCTTTAAATGTCTTCTGCAGATGAAGATGTTGCTCTTCATTCCCTCCCCCCACTCTGGATTTTTTTTAACAGCAAACTCTTTGTTGAGAAAATTAAAATACAAAAAATCAGACTTTTGAAAAAATCATTTTTTTTTTACATTTTAACAAGCAATACTCTAGTGTGTTGTCACTGTAACCCCTCAGAAGTCAGTAGATTTACCTCAGGGATAAATCTGACCTAATATGCTTTTGCTGCTAGAATCTTGCTAGCATCCACAGCAATACAAACGGCTTTTCAAACATGCATGCACCATGAAACTGGCAAAGTATCTTTATAAGCCCTCTTTCATATTTAACAAGGAAAATAAATGCAGACTTGAATGTAGCCAGGAAGCAATGCTTTAGGAACATCAGATAGAAGTAATGGGAAATAGTCATTAATATTAAAACAGCAATGAGGACTTGAATAAGTAAATAGTCATAAAAATATATATCTGAACCTACCAACACTGGTTATCTTCTGGGAGACCAGGTCTTGTAGCAAAGCCTCAATTACAGGATTGTGTCTGGAATACAACTCATAGCGATTAATACCAATGTGGAATTTTAACCAGTTTGGGTAGGAATCTACAGATGTTTCTCCAGTGGGTAAAAATTCCTCATCTTCATTACCTTCATTTTGCCTACCACAAAAGTAGAGAGAGAGAAGTATTAATATTTTTTCTGCTGGTTCTCCACAAAGCAACTTAAAAGAGGGCTTTGAAATGCAATGATATGAAAAGCAAACAATACAGATGTGAGAGAAGGCTTTCCATTTGTCCCTGCTGTGGATTGAAGGCCTGCTTCCATTTCTAGAGAAGCCATTGGTAGCTTTGCTGTTGATCTCAATGGGAGCAGAATTGTGACCTAAATTATTAGTACTTGATCCAAAGACCACTAAAGTCAGTGGCAAAGCTCCCATTGACTGCAACAGACATTGGATCTGACCCTTATAAAATATAAAAAAATGTTGAACTCGGTGTTACATTGCATAGCACTGTTCTAAAACTCCAAAAAAGTTGATTTAATTCAAGGTAGCTGTGTACATTTTGTTTTATGGTTTTTTTTTAAATCCAGAGTACAATGTTCAGAAAACTCAGTCTTTAAGATTTATTTTAGAGTTGTCAAAAACAACTTAGACAATTTTGAAACAAAAATATAAATGTTCCCCACATCTTTATTTAACAATGAACAGATCCTGAAATTATTTGATAACTGTGATGTTACATTCAGAATCTGTTTGTTTTATTATTCCTACGGGATCAAAAGGAAATGAAATAACTTTTGACTACTTTCTAAATGGAAATTCTATTTCCCATGTATGCAAGAAAGTTTGCTTAGCTTTAAGCTATTGTTATAACAAAGAATTGTATGAATTAATGTAAACTGCTAAATTTGATTTTAATTATTTAAATCTTGTGGGCAGTAACTAGTAGAAACAAGTAGAACAGCAGTTGTATTGTAGATCACATTGCCATCACATGCCTTGATTGCAGGAGTCAATTGTATCTTTAGCCATTTCTGGAGTATATTCCCTACATTACTGACATATACTGATGACCGATTTTCCAGAGAAATTGGAAGTTTTCTAATCTAGTGAGTTTTAAGTTTGATTTTAATTATGCTACATTAAGGGTCTTTGTGATTCATAGAAACTTGAGGTTGAAAATGAAAACATTTATACAACATCATTAAAGATTCAAATCCAGGCTGGCTGCTCTATCACTAGACAGAGTTTTTGCATGGTACAATGAAGCTGTTTAAACATTACAGTGTCACTGTGTTTGAAAGAGGGTGCTGTTGTATTAGAGACAAGCCTTTTGATTTTTCATCCATTCAAGTTTCTAAGCAGTGGGGGCAGGCAATTCATAGATGAAACCAAATGCATTAAAAGTTAAGGACAGAAGCACTGGGCTTTAGAATGTCAAAAAATAATTCAGAGCAGAAAATGCTGTGTCAAAAGTCAGACCCTGAAGGTTGAAATCCCATTTATATCTGTATATTATGGACGGTTTTATGACCTTTGAAGTCAATCTCTCTGCTTCTGAGAGAAGTTAATATTTTACTGCTCTGTCTTGTGTTCTTTATTTTGTTGGCTTGGGGGAAAATAACAAGCCTAGTTTAAACATGTTATTTTGTTATTGTCTTGGTGACACCTGAATTATATCACGGAAGCTTTCATTTAATCTAACATAGCTCTTACTCCAGTCTTGTAAATGACTTGTTAGAACCTATATTCCTCTACCGACATAAACATATTAATTTTATTTCCAGCTACCGGCTTTGACATACCACCATTGACACATATAATCTCTGTTTTCTATGTAATGATCTTTTTACTCTCTTCAGGGTTTTAATAAGAAACAGCGGTGCTTCTTAAACTATATGTGGTCATTTAAAAAACAACCACCACCAAAATCCAAGTCTTAACATACACATTGGCTACTATTTATAACAGCTGCTTATCTCACTTATAATTCTGCATTCAGGCAAGAGCTGTCATTTCCTTTTTTAACGCTGAAATGTAAAGTGAGCTGCAGTGCCTTTTCAAACCCGGTGTGCAAGCAGCAGCCACACTGTTTCCTGCAGACTGTATAATATTTTTAAATGTACTGTAATTAAGAAGAAGAACCCAGATCCACTGGTCCCACGCCAGTGGCTCCTGCATCCATCGCTTCGCTAGTTACCTCTCTCCAGACCCAGAGCAGTGTTGCCAGTCTTCAGGGGAATGCCACATGAGCATAACCCAAATCCCCTTGCTGCTGGGTCTGGGGAGAGAAACGTGCTCTCCGGGGGTGCTGTGTTTCGTCGCGGGCGCGGCCGGTGGCATGACTCCCCTTTGCTCTCAGTGACAGCCCGTTGGGGGCCCAGAGTGGAGGCTCACACCCTGCCTCCCCTCCCCCCGCCTGCCCTACTTACCAGTCCTGGTTCTCGGCCGCTTTCGGGTTAAATCGGATGTCGCTGTTGACATTGAACAAGACATCCTCCTCCGCCAGCTCCGGCGTGGCGATCTTGTACAGGGGCTGCTCGAAGAGAGCCGCCAGCTTGGAGTACCCCTTCCCCAGGGGCTGGGCGCCCGGGCTCCCATCTTGGATGAGCGGCTTATGCCCCAGATCCTGGCTCCTGGCGCTTTGTTCCAGCCTCTTAAAAGCTTCGGCTTTCTCCGAGGCCGCGCCGAGCTTCTCCAGCGAGTGCGAGGTGAGGTTGGAGCCGGGGTCGCTGCTGAAATCCTGCAGGATCCGCAGCGTGTGCTTGTTAGGCCAGCCGGCTTCCGAGCCGCCCTTCGCTCGCGGCTTCCCCCAGCCCTGCGCCTCCTCGCTCGGGGGCTGAGCGCACGAGCAGCCCGCCTGGCCCTCGGTCCTGGCCGCTCGCTTCTCCAGCTTGGGGAGCAGATCGATCATGATGTGCATGGTGCAGGCGATCAAAAACACCATCAGGATCAGCACCCTGAATCTCCGCACTAAAATCATCTTCATTGTCAAGGGGGCTTCTAATAAATTATAAAGGGGGGGGGAAGCAAAGGGGTGATTTAAATATTTAAAGGAGCCCTTTCACAGAAAAAGCTCGAGTCTCGATGTGTTTTGTCTTTTTTGCCCCCCTGCTCGGAGAACAAATCAACCCGGCAAGCGAAGAAAGTAAATATTCTGCAAGCGCTCGGTCCTCGTTCCTCTTGGTCGAGTCTCATCCAGGACTCGGCCAGACGAAAATCCCCACCGCACGGAGTCAAGGCTTTGCACATCAATGGGAACACAAAGCCAGCAGCAGTTCAGCGTCTAAACCCGTCTGCCCAATTGCCCCGGTCTTTTCCTTGAGGCTGATGATGACAGGGAGCACAAGGGGAAAGAAAAAGGGATGATTGAAGAGAAACCAACCTCTGAAGCTCTGATGGGGAAAGGGGGGGGGCATTAAGATGGGGAATAAAAATTATAATAAAACCTGTTTAAAGAGAGAAAGGCGTTCAGCGGCAGCAAAAATCATCCATCATATTTCGAGGTGCTGGAAACGCTGCCCCCCATCCTTTGAAATTGACCAGTGATGCAGCCGTGGGACACAAGCGCTCCTCCGCCAGACTGTTTAAAAACATGGGCTGGAAAATGCTTTTCTTAGCCTGTGTCCAGAGTCTTCATCCATCGCATCCAGCGCTGGGGAGAGATGAGTAGTCAACTAGGGTCCAACTCAGTGTGCTGGCTGGATCCAGGCTGGGGCTCCGCGGGGTTTTTTTGGGAGGGGAGGGGAGAGTTGTTTTGGTTTGGCTTTTTGTTATTTTGTTTTGTTTTGGGGTTGCAAAACTGCCCGATGGCGCTACGGCAAGGTAAAGCACGCACCGAAGGAGAGAGAGAAGAGGAAAGAAACTAGCACAAAACAACAGCGGTTCTTCTTAGCGAGGGAGGTGCTGTCTTTGATCTCTGCGGGGTCGTACAGATCTGCCTTGCGAGAGAAAGGGAGAGGCAGAGAAAGAGGGAGAAAGGTCTTTGGCAGGTGCAGAGTGAAAACCCCTTTCAGCTACACTGACTGGTTGGACTAGTAGCGCTGCAACTCCAGCCTTTAGTGGGTGTGTTAAATATTATGAGCAAGCCATGGATCCAGACGTCATAGTTAAGAGATTGGCTAAATAAACGTTACAATGATAGTAACAGGAAAACCTCAGCCACAAGCTTTTCTTTCTTTCGGTCTCCCCTTTCCTCCCACCCCCTCCCCATTCTGCTGCAGCTCCAACTGGGGCAAGGAGAGGGCGTCTGTTTCTCAAAGGGTTTTTTTTTGGGGGGGGGGGGGTTGGAATCTATGCTAATAACATTGCAAAGTATTAGTACAGTCTGGCTGTCTAGGCTTAGGGACATGATTTCTGCTATGTCATTGTCTGGAGAGGAGAGATCATTTTCGGAAGCAAATCTACTGCTTTCCCTCCCCATGTCACCCGTGTATAACAAGGTCAAAACGTAAAACTCGGCTTCTCTTCCTTCTAAGAAACAGATGAATAATCTTGATTTTGAATCTGGATGCTGCCGACCGTAACAATCTTTAAAGGTGTTGCAGTGTAACAATCCACCCGTCTGGTTACATTAGCTGCACATGCTTACAATATAGCCGGATGAAAAAGGAGATTAGGCTGCCAATATTGTCCTCCAGCCAGGAGAGATTCTGAAAACTGACCCAGAGTTTCCAATCAGATAATTCAGAGGAGATGGAGAGTGGTTAAAGCACTGGATTGAGACTTGGGATCCCTTGATGGCTCTGCTGTGGATTTTGTTCATATCTTTTAATATGGAGATATACCATACCATCTCATAGAGCTGAAAAGGACCTTGAAAGGTCATGGAGTCCAGTCCCCTGCCCTCATAGTAGGACCAAGTACCAGCCCTGACAGATTTGCCTAAACAGCCCCCTCAAGGATTGAACTCACAACCCTGGCTTTAGCAGGCCAATTAGGACAAGTACTTTGATGCAGGCATTTAGATCCCATTAACATTAGGAGTTAGCTTAAGTTCGTGGGAGGATCTGGGTCTTCATTCTCTCTTTGCCTCTATTCTCCATGCATAAACTGGAAATAATCATATTCTTCTTGCCTTGTCTTGGGGGTAGGGGCTGTTTCTTAATCGGGGTTGAACAACAGGGCCTTGATATTAGTCGAAGGCTCCTGGTGATACTGAAAAGTAATGAATATAGTAATAAGTTAAAACCCATATCCCCCATTTATTGTCTTTACAAGGAACGCATAAAAGCAGTACCTACATATTTGGACCTGCAATGTGTGCTACAAATGCATCACACTCTGAACCCTCATTGTAAGACTGTTAAGCCGTCACGATATATTGCAGTCATGTTTTGTGCTTGCATTAAACTTACACCTGTGCTTTCACAACATGGCCACTTTTGTTTTCAAAAGTGGTAAATGACCCTGAAAAATGCAAGGCTATATAGGCCCTGATCCTGCAAGCTGTTCAAGGCAGGCATGCTGCTCTGCTTTTGCATCACCCTGTTGACGCCAGTGGGCTTGGAGTGAGGGCAGTGGTCTGGCCTCATGCACCCTCTTGCAGAACTGGAGTCGTCATTTGCATAGAACGTTTTTAATGCCTTGCTGCCACATCACCAGCTGTGCCGTGACAATTTCTCACTTTGCATGTGGAGTATGGAGCATAATGTTTGGTAGACAGTTCACCCCGTTGCTACAAAATGCGGGCAAGGGTAGATCGGTCTTTCAGAAAATCTTATTGAAGTCAAGAGTATTGAACTCAGGCTGGGAACTGGGCATTATCAGTTTTCAAAGAACAATACCTAAAGCCATGGTGTGTGTGTGTGGGGGGGGGGTGGGGGGGGGGGGGGGGGGAGTTGACACAGCGAGTACAATACAAACGGGATATACATTCTGGGTTACATCCTGCTGTGCTGTCCTCATTCAGGCAGAATTCCCACTGAGAGTTGGAATTCCTGAACTTTGCCACAGAGATGTTGGGCAAAGCACGTAGACCTCTCAATGCTTCATTTAGCCATCTGGGGACAAATAGTACTTACCTATCTCACAGGGATGTAATGGGGTTTAAATAACTGAATCCAGGTTATACCTCCTGGGATTTACTTTTAGATCTGCTAAGCCACAGTTCCACTGGCACTGCCCACGGCTTGCCTTAGGCTGCCCTCCACAAGCCCAGCTGGATCACATTATCTCCATGATATTCAGTGGAATCTGTCACCCTCAGACCATGATGGCAAATCATGTTTTGAAATGAGTATCTGGTGATTTGTAGCCCATGGTGTAAGTAAAGGCACTGGGGAGCAGGGGGAGGGCAGGAGCACGATGGCAGGAGAGTTAGGGTAACGGAGCTATCTCAGCCTCTGAATATGAATGTCCATACTTTGAAAGGTTTGTGTTTCTCGTGAGTGCAACCCTGCAGAGGATGGTGGGGCATGAAGATTCCCCTTCTCCCTTAGCTCTATCATGAGCTGCAACAGACTCTTCAGCACCATGGGCATCTCTAGTCTCTGCAGCCTGCAGGTGCCAGAATGCGACTCAAGGCACCAGTGCCCCAGAGGTGCTCCATTTGGGCTCCTCTTAGACAGCTCATCATCTCCCGCCATGGGTGTTTTGCTCTTCAGTGGAAAAGATTTTCAAGTGATCTGTTGCCACTTAGCGGTTTAGGGCCAGAACTCCTTTTATTTTAAATACTCACTGAGGTTTCCAGCAGTCCTCTGGTTTCAGTCTGATCTTGACAGGCCCAGCGTTCTCTGGAGTCATTAGTAAAAGAGAACTGTTTTAATTCTTTCATCACCTTTCAGTTACAGGCCCCGGTTCTGTAGTGAGTTATGTGAGATCCCACATGCTTGAAATTACACCCACGTGTAAGTGTTTGTTGACTCAGGTCCATCGAGATATCAATATTGTCACCAACATAAGCAGCCTCTGCTTTGAAGCTTTCTGATGCAACTTCCAGCAGGGTTGTATTTTACTAAATCCACTGCTAATTGCTTTAAGAGAGTTCCCACTATGGACAACAGTCTCTTCATCTTAGACTCCTAATTAAATGTGGGCGCTTTTAATGGGTCTGAATAAGAACAGAGAGGTGGGATTCTTTAAACACTATTCTTCAGGTCCTTTATGGTTGTAGCTTAGCCCTGCTACTGCTCATTCTGAGGTAGAGTAAAGGGAATGCTGTCCTCAGGAACAAGGAAATACCGATAGTTACTGCTTATCTCACTCACTTCTGTATGTCCTGGGCTGTTCTTATGAGGGAAGGAGGATATCCGTCGTCCCTGACATCATGCCTTTCTCAGCTTCATCTGACCTTTAGGGGACCTACTACTTCCTCTTGGTTCATGGCCCCATTCTACGTGCTGGACTACGCCTTCACCTTTTGGAGTCTATAGGCTCCGAGTGCACTCATTTCCCCTTTGAGTTGCTCTGTGCCTTTCGTGCTTAGATCTTTCATCTTTGGGATGACTCAGCAGGGCTGTCCAAAGGAGATCTTTAATTCGTATCTTTAGTCCATGGAATAAAATGGATAAAAAAGTCAAGGGTTTCTTGGTGTTCCCAGGCAATGATACTCAGAACCCTGTCTATCCAGAGAGGAACCCATCTCCTTTGTGTTACTCACAAGGCATTTGTCGATGTCATTCTCAAAAGACAACAGGGCGGCATCTGTGCTAATAGATGAACTATTGAGATAGTCTTTGCTCTAAGGCAGGGGTGGGGAACCTCAGGTTCATGGGCCAGATGACCCCTGGCTTGCTTGGATCTGGGCACGGAAGCTCAGAGCCCCCCCTGCATTGGGGAGTCAGTGCTAGCACTCCAACCTCCCTGCTTCCCACCATGGGGCTGGAGCACATAAAATATACTAGGTTGTGTCCCCCGCTCAGGCTCTGGTGTATGAGGGGAATGTGGGGAGTGTCTTCCTCCTCATTTGGGGACCACATCAGTGAGGGTTTTCTGTGTGCTGCCCTTGACTGATTTTTCTGTGGGTCAGCAGCCCCCAACCCAAGAAAGGTTCCCCACCCCTGCACTAAGGCAACTGCAAGAAAAGTGTCAAGAACAAATAAAACCTCTCTCCGCAGATCAGACCTGGTCAGCAGAAAACGTTTCTCCCAGTTGTTAAGAAAACTGGTTACACCCAAAGCCTTATCTGCAATGTTCCCTCTATTTTTTACCCATGTGTGGAATATATTTTGTTATGTGCACCAAGGTATGCACAGATGTGTATCACCAATAGAAACACATGCATCTGGCTGTGGGTGGCTAACGGTACTCTGTTAGTCAGCTGGGCAGCATTTCAGTCTCTCCTAGGTGGCCGCCCAAACGCCCAGCTTACAGAGAACACCACTTCTCAGTCTGATTCAATCCTTCCAAGAGAGCATGAAGATAACAGTCCACTATGATGGTGACCTATGTGATATCTTTGAAATACATAGTGTTACAAACAGGGATGTATTTTGCCACTGTGGGGGTTTCAGGGTGCGATCACCCCCTCTTGCTCCAAGAGGGGGGGTCAGCGAACCCTCGTGCCCCCTTTTTGTGCCTAGTTGGCCTCAGGGCCCCCAACGGGGAACTCCCGGTAATGGGTGCGATCACCCCCTCCCAGGAGGAAGGGGGGGTCAGCGAACCCGGCGACAGTCACCCGCCTATGCGGGGTGGGGCAGCCGGCCCCTGGTTCAGCGTTTCCCCTTGCGGGGTCGTGACTTACAACGGCTCGCCCCTCAAGCCGCGGGGAGTAGTATACTCACTTCAGGGAGGGAGGGGGACCCGGTCCCGCCCTCTCTCCGGGTCCCAGCCCAGGGCCCTAGGCGCCGGGGCTTGCTAATGCCCCGACGCGGTGGACAAGGGAGCTAATCCCTCCGAAACTCGTCCACCCAAGGTCGCCAAAAGCGCCCTGCCCCGGACTCCTTCCTCCCCCCGGGCGGGGCCCCCCCATCGGGCCCCCCCCCATTCACACCTACCCTGGTTCGGGGTCTCGGGGTGTCTCACTTCCCGATGTAGCCTCGGGGGATCGCTCTGGGGCGCTGTTCTGCCTCCGTGCGTCCCGCTCCTGTTGGGCGCGACGCAGTGGGGTACGCCCTCCGTCTGCCGATGGGCTGAGGGACCGCCAGGGGCAGTGGCTGTCCCGAAGACCCCGGGCCCAGCGCCGGGCTGGCAGCCGCGGGGGA